GAACGCGCTCTACAGCTTCATTCCCGCCTAAGCGACCTCGAAGGTCGAGTTCGCGAAGACCCGCAATGTGAGTCCATACGACCCATTCTCGCACTTCAGCCCGGTCTCGCACGTCTCTCATTTGGTGCTGATCGCTCGTTGCAGGGCGCATCCCCGTCGCAGCCGTCCCTTATCAGTCGCATGGCACGACGCGGTGAACGGTCCTCCAGCAAGACCAACCCCCAGAGCACACCAGATGTCGGGGTCTATGTCTACGGGACATCGACGTCTGCGTCTGCGTCCGGGTCCGGGTCCGGGTCTGGCCCGTCTGCTCCCGCCTCCGCTTCCTCTTCCCGCCCGTCTTCGCCCGCCAACGCGTCCGCCTCCCGCCCGTCTTCCCCTCGCTCGAAAACGACAATAACGCTCATCTTTCCGCACACCGATTAGCGATGGTGCGCGCTCGATGCCCTGGAGTTACCGTGTTCCGTCATGCTCACTGACGCCGCATTTGACAGGACGTCAAGAGGGGCCGTCGGCGACCGCGCTGGTCAGCCAGCGGTGAGCTCCACAACATATGCGTACGTCCTAGCACTCGTAATCAATGAATGTATGTTTGTTCCGGTCATCGCCGGGAGCCCGTCCTGTGCAGGCAGCGTGTAGTTATCACTCCTCTTGTGTTACTTCACTCGTGGTATCTCAGAAGTGGTGACGGAATCTCTCGCGCTTCCCCCTCCCCTTGCAAGTCTTATCCCTGCGACATGAAGCGCGAGGGTAAAGTCTAATGTATGCTATTTTTCTGGTGTACCTCGTTTGCGGCGTCAGCGACTTCAGAGCGCTTGAATCTCAGCAATGTTTTGTCACTCTGGCTGTCTCATCGCCTCAGTGAGCGCAACTTTTTCGCTTGCTTGAGCTCACGCAGTTACGAAAGGAGTGAGGTTTAGCTTAAGGTGGCGTCCAGCTTGGGGGAGCGGCGCGGGCAACGCATACTAATGTTTGCATGTGTACACAGTGGGATGCAGGTCTTGAACCTACAGCTGTTATCACATTCATAGGCTCTCGAAAGTTATTACGGACAACGATTTTGCGGCGATGCGGGGAGGATGTGGCTGTACAAACCAAAACCCAGATACTTCCTTTCGGTGCTCGCTACCTACTACCCGCCACCCGCGGAGGCTTTCTGGGCTCGAAAGGCTATCTGTATATGTTTTTGACGGACGCCTATTGATTTGTTAACAATTCTAAAGGTTTGTTACTAAGTAGGGAGTATAGTGCAGAGGTGTAGCATCTACCGTAAAGTCTCACCAGGCCCGGGAACATGTATAGCCGAATGGGGTAAAGCCATGTGAGCGCAAGACGCGCCAGCGTCACTCAGACTGTTCTTGTTCCAACATTGCGTGGTGGCAAGTCAAGCAGCACTCTAATTGTGGTGGCACACGTCCTTGATCTCTCGACCAGTGCGGAACGCGGTAATACAGTATTCGTTTTAGCGTAATGTCACAACAACATTTACTATGCTCGTAGGTCACCAACCGAGAAATACCCGCGCATGGCAACGGTGGCGAGTCCTTCTGCTGTGCATGAGCAACTACAAGTTCGGTGTTGCAATATCAAAGGGACGCGCGGTCGCGGAAATGCTGCTGTTGCGCCTCCGTGCTTCGTATGTGCTGCTGGTCGTGCCGCATCCCAACGTGATTGCTGCCGGTTCCAAGGTATGTGCCCCCGGGGCTGCGTCATTCTGCATCCGTGAATCTGACGAACGCAACTGGTGTACATGCCTGTAGGATTCCGGACGATCATGACGGGCGTTGATGGCTCAGTCAACGTTCTGTTTTCTACACGCGCTCACCGGACCCATCCAACTACAGCGTATCACGCAGTATTCGATACACCTCCCGACCTAGCCACTGTGCGAGAGCTCATGGTAATTTGTACGTTGTCATGAGCTTCTGAGCATATCTGACCCTTATATAGGCCGATATTGCCCGGTTTTTGCGACCTACGCTTGTGCGGACGCTAAAACACGAACGACTGCCAGACGTGATTCGGAGGGAGCTTGATCCCGCCCGTCGAGTGACGTGCGGTATGTTACGCCCAAAATCCTAGAGAGATGCATCTGATGATCAAAGCAGATTTGTGCAACATCACTCTCCTCTTCGACTCGTTCGTTTGCGTCGCATGCGGCTTCGAGATATGTTCTTCGTGCAATGACAAAACGCGGTCATCAGACGCCCTTTCCTGTGTGAACGGCCAAAATACACGGGCATGTAATCTCCCTTCTATCTCCTTAGACCTCAATCTGACGCGACACAGCAACAGGGGCATCTATTTAAACCGGTGACTACAGCTGACCGTGACGAGGTCGAGTCCATACTCGCTGACGTCGACGCCGTGATCTCCGAGTTTCCACACGGTGTCCTACCTCACATTCCGGAGTCTGAACGTCTATATGCACTAGCAAGTCACTTTCGGGATGTGCCGACCATTTCTTCGGGCCAGGAGCCCGTGTTCCAGATATTGTGGTCGCGTCAGCTCCCTATAGTCGTAAACGGGGTTCACAAAATCCTGCAATGCGATTGGTCCCCTCAAGTGTTCATGTTGTCCTACGGCGAGGAGGATGTCTTTATGATAAACAGCAAGTGCAAGAACCCAGCGAAAGTCAAAGCCAAGCACTTCTTCACGGAGTTCCTGCGAGGTGACCATGAGAGGGGCAGCATCATAAGACTCAAGGTGAGGCAATATCTGTTCACACGTCTTACTAAAGCCCATTATTGCTTCTAAGGACTGGCCCCCATCTGCGCTGTTCGCTGATAAGCTCAAACCTTACTTCGACGCGTTCATGAAGGCGGTACCTATGCCGTCATACACCCGCCACGACGGGGTTCGCAATTTTCCTGCACACTATCCGGATCCGACGCGTCCCCTCAAGTCGCAAAAACCCGACTTCGGTAAGTCTGTTACAAGAACAGATTCCGACGTAATCTCACATCGTACCATAGGACCAAAGCTGTACTCGGCGACGGAGGATACTACCCACGTCGGCTCAACCAAATTGCATCTAGATGTCACGAGCGCCGTCAACATCCTCGTGTATAACTCGCGCGGAGAAACATCCGGAGCGTTATGGCACATCTTCTTGGCCGATGATCTGGACAAACTGCGCGGTTATCTGCGCTCGAGCTTGGGCGACACGTCGACCGAGGACCCCATCCACGCTCAAAGCACATACGTGACACAGCCCATGTTGGATGAACTGAAGATGTTGGGCGTGTCTCCATTTGTGGTGCACCAAAGGCTTGGCGACGCCGTCTTCATCCCTGCTGGATGCGCACATCAAGTACGTGGCAAGCCACACTTTGCTTCATCATTAATAAACGACTCTTGTGCATATAGGTCAGCAACACTGCGGCTTGTATCAAGATAGCTTGCGATTTTCTCTGTTCTGAGGGAGTTGCTCGTTCTGCCCAAGTCTCTGCAGAGCTACGACAGGAGGGGCACGACGATATCCTCCAGCTAGAGACTATGCTCTGGCACGCTTGGAAGTCTCTGCGTATAACTGAAGGAAGGAGTCGGCCATCTGACACGGAAGGATCAACGCGCACAGAGCGTAAGCGTCACAGACAGCGCCAGATATCGCGGGCCAGAAAGGATGAGGCCCGACGGAAGGGCAAGGCTAGGCACCCTGACGACGACTCTGCACGGCCAAGCGGTGTCTTCAAGTGCCCTCTCCCGAAGTGCCAGGATTCCAAACGAACGTTTTCGGTGTTACAAGGGGTGTTCAATCACATGTGAGGCCACCTCCCGCCACTTGCCCACTTGATAAACTAACTAGATGTATTCAACAGGAAAATGGTACACAAGGTCGCCGTTCCTCATCCCTCTCAGTGGTCACAATATGAGGGCGGTAGTGAAGCCCTGTTCAAGGAACGCTATCACGAGTTTGTTTCACGTCACTCTACTTCGCCGATGAATTGAAAGAATGTAGCTTGGCTTCGCGTGTACTTACACCCTTCAATGCGCCATGATTCCTGTGTCTATCTTTGATTGTTTGAGATCCAACTGTAGACTCATATTTCCTATCAACGCGTCTAGCACGACCAACTACGGCGAGTCGAGCGGCCCCAGCGAGTGTTTGATAGCTTCATGTAAATTTCCACGTGGCATGTCCACGCGGCTTGCGTAGTTGTGCGTAGGCATATGTCCATACACACTCGGAGATTGGGAATTCAACGAATGATGAGGCAGTACACATCTCTATTATGCTCGATACAAAACGACCAATCACCGAGGACTGAACACAGTGATCAGCAGATGTATGATACCTCCAGCCGCCAACATTACGCAGGTCCACGTCTTCCACCACTTCGTCTCGCACCGCTCGGAATAGTACACGCCAGCTCTGCCCATGAAAGCTGCAAAATCGGCATCGTCGTTCAGGGCGTCGTCAAAGATTCCGTGTTCATATGAAAGGGTGCGAACAGCAGAAAGCGGAAGCGCCGGATAGCACGCCGGAGTGGAACCCTGCATGTCAATCAGTCAGAACGATCGCGAAGATATGCAAACACGAGGAGCACCCACCTCGGCAGAGGGGTCACAGGCCACAAATGCTAAAAACGCGCCGGACGTATGCAGACATTGATAATCTAGGTACCCTGATGCAAATCCGTGAGCGGCCATTCACGGGCGAGTCACGACCAAGCTTACAGCACAAGGCTTTCATGAACAAAGACCGAACGGTACCCTCTTCTATTCCCGCCTCCAACGTATTGTCTTCGCCTGAGACCTGCTGAGAGATCACACAACCCAGTAAGCGGGCGCCATGACGGGAGATAGAAATGCGCAATGTGAGTACTCGCCGTAGAGACTCGGATATTGCAGTGAAGAATGCTCCAAATGAGTTCTGGGCAGGTGAGATTGTCGGATAGGGAGGTTTCACGGTCCGCGGTGGACGAGGATGATTGTGCCACCGACCCGTTGAGGTATTGCGGCGGGGTGAGTGCCATAGTAGACGGCTGACCCAATCTTCTTAGTGCATACAAATAACGTGCAGAACATGAACCATGCTCACCCACTCGAAGACGGAAAAGAATTGGAGCTTGCCAAACAACTGACGAGACGATGGTGAACGAGGAACAAGGGGTCTCGAGTGGCATCACCCACCGGTAGCCACATGTTCGTTGCCTCGTGTCCCGATACCATGTGAACTCGCTAAGTGTTTGTACACCCCGATCGCACTCATCTACACGACGTCTAGAAATTAGACGTCAAGACGCAAATATCAACACAAGCACTGGTACTGCTGAAAGTACCAAAAGCAACCGTGACCGGGGTGGGAACGCGTCCGATGCCATACATCTTTGCCACCTCCATATGATGAGGGCATGAAGAGCGAAATAATCGGGGAGGGACGACGATCACCGATGTTTGGCAGGGGAGAACTCCGAAACTCGGGAAGTCGAGACTTCATGTGGACAAGGAGATACTTGGCTAGAAACATAACTCGCGCGCATGGCCGGAACAAACATACATTCATTGATTACGAGTGCTAGGACGTACGCATATGTTGTGGAGCTCACCGCTGGCTGACCAGCGCGGTCGCCGACGGCCCCTCTTGACGTCCTGTCAAATGCGGCGTCAGTGAGCATGACGGAACACGGTAACTCCAGGGCATCGAGCGCGCACCATCGCTAATCGGTGTGCGGAAAGATGAGCGTTATTGTCGTTTTCGAGCGAGGGGAAGACGGGCGGGAGGCGGACGCGTTGGCGGGCGAAGACGGGCGGGAAGAGGAAGCGGAGGCGGGAGCAGACGGGCCAGACCCGGACCCGGACCCGGACGCAGACGCAGACGTCGATGTCCCGTAGACATAGACCCCGACATCTGGTGTGCTCTGGGGGTTGGTCTTGCTGGAGGACCGTTCACCGCGTCGTGCCATGCG